GGAGTCACTTCAGGTGATAGTAGCGCTCCCCAAGGAGGGGTGATGGTGGGGTGGGAGTCGCTTCGGGTGAAAGCAGCACGCCCCTAGCAAGGGGGAGGTAGTGTGGAAGTCGCTTCACTACCTGCCACGACTTTCGGGCACACAATTTTCCACGCGAAGCGACTCCCACCCCGCTTCCCACTGCTTGGGGGTGTGCGACTTTCACCTGAAGCGATTCTCACCCCAACCTTCCCCATGTTTGGGGACGCACAACTTTCACCTGAAACAATAAAAATTTTTCTGTTCATAACTTTTTAATGAATGATGAGCGATGGAAAAAATCAATGAGCTTGACCTCCTTGAAGATCAAGGTCAACATCGAGATTGGTGAAAAGTCATTTGGAGCGAGCTGTGTAAAGGTAAACATTTATCATTTGATATAACTTTTGTTGTAATCTTATGTAACGTTATACATTAAGTGTTATCAGTTATTTACGAATATAATAATAAGATAAATATAGAATATAATAATAAAATATCGTTCATGTGTTTTATTAACATTCATAAGAAGATATCTATTCAAATTTAATTATGATGATTTATATTGAATTTTTTTTAATGTCCATCTTTAGCTTCTTGAGAAATTGATTGCCTTAATATAAACTTTACCTGTAATTACCTGTAATAATTTTTCCTTTAAACGTTTTGTTTCAGACAATAAATCACTCGTCATACTTTTTATACTCATTTCAACTGTGATATGACTTTTACGTACTTTTCGATATTTCTCATCAGTCTCACGTGCTGTTTGCCGTATTGTTTTCATATCTGTAATAATATAAACAGAAGATTAAAATTACATAAAGAAACATCCCACAAGATTAAATCAATATATAAAATAAAGAGCCTCAAATAACCATAGATTAGAAACAATTTGAGAATTATGCAGAATAGGGTCTTTTCCGAATTTCGACATTTTTCTATTGCAATATTGATATAACTACTTTTGTTATGGCTCAAAGAGTGATAATAAACCGGAGAAGGTCGAAAAATATATCGTGTACCCACTTTTATAATTATTATTTATTTCCATTATAGTAATTCATTAAATACGTTATATTTCTACTCGTATACTGAATGATAACATTAATATTCTACCATCCAAATGGAGCGTTATAAAATATATGCGTAGAGACAGTACGCTGCCCCTAAAAATATAACCTAATCCAATCCATATTTTAGTTTAGTGATAAGGGAGCAAGAAGGTTAGTTGTAAGGTGCGTCCTTATTCAAGTCGTTCTGACAAGGACGTTTAATTGGTGATATTTTAAGTTCGAGTTATTTGAGGCCGAGTCCTAAGAAGGACTCGGCAGCGACTAGTTTTGTCAGTCGCTAGTTTTGTCTTCGATGCCGGCGCAGGCAGTTATGGCGCCTCTTGTCGCTCCGAGTAGGCGGTCGTCGGTGGTATGCGTGCCGTTCTGATGGTAATCAGTACTATATCCCTGGTATAACCCAATTTCGTGGCTCGGTTTGTATAGCCCGGGTGGGCAAACGCTGTGGAAATAGCCCTACTTTTCTTTATATAAAAAGATGGAAGAAAGGAGGATTTGGATGGTGAGAAGTTTGGATCGTGCCTCATCGCGGCCTGTGGAGGTATTGTCCCAGCCCCTTTACTGATCGAGCTACGGCGAATCCTACGATGGGCTTACGTACACCGAAGGCATGGGGGAGGAATTGATTACTGCGACGGCCACGGTTGGTGGCGGAGGGTGTGGCGCCCCCTAGAAATGGGAAGTATCGAAGCCGGGGAGATGCTCCGGCGGCGGCGGCGGTACGCGAAGTGATCGCAGATCTCGCGGTCCTGCGCGTGTCGTGGGAGGAGACATTCTTACCTTATAGATAACTGCATGGAAGATGCATAGAAGCGGAAACAATCCCCCCCCCGTGAGCACCATTGACGCGTCTCGAAGTGAACACTTTCAGGACGTCGAAATGGAGGATGATACCAAGGCGAAACAGGAGACGGCGGAAGTCGCCGTACGTGGCCCGAGCCTTGCTGGGGCAGGGTACATCAAACCCTGCCATAAAAGAGCGCTTCAGTGCGACAAGCTCACAGCCGGTTCTCTCCGAGGCGAGCAAAATGCAAAGCCTCGGAGAATCCACGGAGTCCATTTGCCCCTTTACCTCCTTTAATAAAAGAAAGGCAAAGGAGGCTGTGGCGCTCCTGGATGAGGAATACGATCGGGCGGATCCATCGCCGCTCGATGCCTTCGGTCTGGTAGGCCGGCGAAGGATCCCTCGCATGAGGGACTATTCACCGAGGCAATGAGGACCGAGTAGGAGGTGGCTAAATAGACCAAGCGCCTGTTGTAAAAGGCCGCCTTCATCGCGGAGCCCTAAAAGACTCTCTCATTCAAGAAAAACGAGAGAAGGTTATGTGAGTCCAAGACCTCTTAGTTGATTTGGACATACAGCCCATCGAGACTGTGGTAGGCATGGCCAATGAGGCTATAGATCTCATAGCCAAGTCAATTGAGAAGTCAAAGAATATTAAGGGCAAGATAACCGGCTATCTTTAGAGAACGGCGACTAAGCTCACCGCCGTCTGCGATGTGCTGGGAAGGCGCGCTTCCGCCGACCTCTCGCAAGACTCCCACGCTACTGGTGGGAGCGAACGTGACCGCGAGGTGCAGCACCTTAGGGAGGAGATTACTCGCTTCCATAAGGAAAGGCTACAAATGGAATGATTTACGACATCGCGACTAACGCTATCAGTCGGTGTTCTAGCGCGACCGGTAATCACACACACAAACATAAGCCTATGTCCATGTGCGGTTGCACTCGGCCAGCTTCGGTCGGCTTCGGGCGTTCGGGCGTGTGCGTGCTAAGAGCGAACGAGACAGCGTTTCACAGGAGCGTGAAGCGACCGAAAATATTTTCTCGGCCGCTCGAAAGTGTATCGAGAGGCAAGAGGACATCTGGAGATACGGCAGTGTCTCGGCACTAAGCATGGCGCGAGACACTGCCGTATCTCCTTTACGCGAACCAGCGAATTGCGGCAGATCGGATCTAAATAACGACTGTCCCGATTGAATCTTTAAGTACACTTAATCGATAGCTTACACTCCGATTGTATTATACGTGCTTTTATTTCTTCTCTACGCATCTTATAAGCGAAGATATTGCGACGCAAAGTTCGGATTTGTAACTTTTCACGTTCAGATACGTCATTGTCATCGTCGACCGCATTCCGTGCATTCCTTTTATGTCCTGACATTTTTTACGCAAGGAGCGCTAGTGACATACATGATCAGCTAATGCATTTTTACTTTCTGAGGTACACTTTAGCATTTAATTACAACTACTTCTTCATTTTTCTTATACTTGAGCATATTTACACACGAATATGTATATTTTCGAGTGCGTTATTTGCTATTTAACATTTTATTTTACTATATATATTTTGAGTTATACAAATTTAAACAATACCATGGCATTTTGCTAATGTGGCCTTCTATGGATATTGATTACTCACGACCTCTTTTTTAAGGTTTTCATATCAAAATAATTATTTGATAATCGATTGTATCTCTCCTGTTGATCTATAGTTTATATTACGTGTACCATTTTTAGTACTGAGATTTTTAGTACTGAGCAGCTTATATACAGAAGTTATGTGAATATATTGTGATGTGATGTTTTTCACCGTCCGTCACAAGGATCGTTCGACCTGGCCGACGTAGCGCGGCAAATTTGTCCTGTGTCCCCCCGACGCGGAGGGCGGGCGTGCCGACGCTTGTTGCGATTTTCGAGCGGGAATTTGGAGATTTTTGTCGTTGCGTTTCGCATAACATTACTATTTCTTTTTGTAAATTTGTCTGAGAGTTTTTAGTATCGGCGGCTGCGATAGGTAATTTAATGTGCGTCACGTTCCACCACCTCAAGGAGGCGGCCAAGAAGAAGATAGAAGACCATATTGGAGGCCCGAGGCCACCCAGAGGAGGGGTGATACCGTTCCATACTATCAAATTAACGCCGCGAGCAAAACGTGTTTTCCTGAAGCCGAACTCTTTACAGGCGACTATGCCGTGGGAGCGACAAAGGCGGCGTGAGGGGATGGCCACCTTCAGCCACAGAACGAGCGAGGGACCCCGCTGTTGGTACCGCACGGAAGCCTCTGCCGAGAGGAGACCTTGAATCCGGAGGCCGAGCGTGTTTGCCAAGGAACCCATCGAATCCGGATGACACGCCGGCAAAAGCAATATAGAGGGGACCGTGCGAGCAGCCGAAACGACGCCAGCCTTGAGTCGAATCCCGCGCGCTCAAGGATCTAGGGCGCGCGACGCGATAGCAAGTTGCGAGGACTCGCGGAAGCTCGCGAGATGGCCCTCGGCCAATCAGGGCCGATAAGGCTTATCACGTGGGTCCACGATCGCCTGCGCGCCCCCGAAGGGACCTCGGGCCCGACACTTGCGCTGTGGACACGAGGCGATAGAGACGTGCGAGACACAAGACTACAGGAGAAAGAAAGCGAGTGTCGAGAGGATCCTGTGGTGAGACGAACGTAACATATTGTAAAGCCGCCGATTTCCGAATTGGAGGGATCGTACGTATCCGCGAAATTGTTGTTGGATCCGGTGGGGTTGGATCCTTTCGCGAGCAACTGCGTCGCGGCTGCACGCGCGCTCCGCGTAATCGTGCCATCCCGTCCGATACCGTCTTGGTTTCGTTATAATTTCGAGTTATTTTGCACGCCCGCCGCGGCCACAGCCAGGTCATTTCGTATCGTATCGTCGCGTCATAATTTTGTATCGCATCGACGCGTCATAATTCTGTACCGTATCGTCGTGTCACAATTCTGTATCGTATTGTTGTGCCGTAATTTTGTATCGTACTGTTGCGTTGCCGTTTCGTGTCGTGTACTATCGTCGTCGTAGTAGATCCTAAACTTCAGAGGATGTTCTCGCGTGTTCACGCATTCCGAAGATTTTCGTAACTGCGTCATGGATCTCCGTAACCGCGATACATGCGTCGCGTAGAATTACGCTAGAATCGAGAGCTCGTCCATCAGAGAAGAGAAGCGGTTACTTAATATCGCGTGTCGAGAACGTATCGCAGAGGTCAGAGCGCTTGCATGCCGCAGAATCAATCCGTCTGCCTGTACGTCGGAAACTGTGTAATTGACTTAAAGAATAGATTTGTTATTATCTCATTGTTATTAATTCTGCCTACTTGACTGTTTTCTCGCCTCACTTGTTCTCCAAAAGATCCTCCGTTCCCGACCACGAACCACCCCCTCTGCCATTATCGTGGCTGAGCAGTCGGTTATTAGAGCCGTCCGCATTCGTGAGTCTCTCCACCTCAGTATTTTCGAGTGAGAACGTACCGAAAGATTTAAGAAAGAGGGGCACGCTCTCTCGTGCCTGGCGCCCAATCATTGACGTGAAGTTTAGAGTATGTAAAATTTGAGAAAGCCGTTGTGGCGTTGAGCTTTTTTAGTGTTGTCGTGAAGGTATCGACTAAGGAGAGGTAGAGCAATACTCGCGAACGCGCGACGAAATGGCACCACGCTCGTGAGTGCGGTCGCAGTAGTATGTGCATCATGCATAATTAATATATCGGACACTGACATCGACGTAATGTATCTCAGGAAGTACGATATCGATTCTTTCGATGCGCTAGTCGGTCAGTCCTGCTCTAATTGGAGACAGCCTATGTATACGATATTTCCGTGCAACGTGTGCCCAATGTGCACATATTGAAAAAACTATTGTGAACAGTATTGTGATGAGACATGGAAGAATGAACATGATCCTGCTGTAGACGATG